TTCCAAATATTGTATAGAATTGATGCTGCATATAACATTCCATCAGAATCTAAAATATTTAGAAGTTCCCCAAACCAAACATGAAAAATATCCGTGACAATATTGGGGATTGTAAGGTTGGATTGATCCCAAATGTTTCTTGCAAAATCACACAAGACTAATGCATGCATTGTATTCTCATGTGATATCCCACACATAGCACAATATGGGTTCACCTCCACCCTCTTTAAAAGCAAGTTCGTAGTTGTAGGCAAAATATCACAAATAGCTCTCCAGAGGAACATTTTCCACTTTGGTGGAATTTTTAGTCTCCATAAAGCTAACCAATTAATAAAGGGGCCTTGATTATTCTCATAATCTCCCACCAATCGTCTGTACCCGCTTTTCACAGAATATAATCCTCTCGGGTCCCCGTACCAATACCATGCATCATTATAATCCCGGGATACAGGTACTCTCATAATTCTCTCGACATCCGTAGGTTGAAATAAATCTGATAAAATTTCATTATCCCATGTACCAGTTTGTTGATCTATTAGCCCCACTACTCTGGCCTCTCGTAACTGTATAGGCATCTCTGTTTGTATCATAGGGTCCTGGTCATCCAGTAACCATGGATGGGTCCATATAGATGTAGTTTCCCCATTCCCAATTCTTCGTCTGACCCCACTACAAATTATGCTCTTTGATGCCATTATACTCCGCCAACAAAAACTGGGATTATTTCCTACCTGCGCATCAAAGAAAGTATCCCTGGGAAAATATCGGCTTTTGTAAACACGAGCTACTAAGGAATCAGGCTTAGTGAGCATTCGCCATGCCTGTTTCCCCAACATAGCTAGATTAAATGCACGTAGGTCCTTAAAACTCAATCCACCATACTTCTTAGGAACACATAGCTTGTCCCAAGCCTTCCAGTGAACTCGGTTGTCCGTCCCAGAACCCCACCAATATCTATTCATCGTTCTTTCTATAGCCGTGCATACTGATATAGGTAGCAAAAAAACACTCATTGAGAAGGTAGGCATAGATTGTGCCACACTTTTCAACAGTATTTCTTTTCCTGCCTGAGACAATAGCCTTTTATTCCACGACCCAATTCTTTGGCGTATTTTATCCTCAATATATGCAAAAGCTGCCTTTTTATTCCTACCCACAAACGAAGGTAGACCCAAATACTTGCCAAAGTTTGGTGCCTGCTCCACCCCCAAAACTTGGGCCACACTTTCCCTATCCACATTACTCGTATTCCTTCTATAACAAATACTCGACTTGTGGTAGTTAACCACCTGTCCCGATAGATCCTCATATACAGTCAGGCATTTCTTTATCTCATTAGCCTCCTCCACATTAGCCTTAAAGAATAAAAGGCTATCGTCCGCAAAAAACAAATGAGAAATCTGAGGGGCACCTCTTGCTACCCTACATCCATGAATTAATCCCGCTCTGTTAGCCTGTTGTAGTAACAACGAGAGTCCCTCCGCACAGATAATAAACAAATATGGGGATAGCGGGTCTCCCTGTCTCAAACCACGCGTGGGTATTATTGGGTCACTCCTTGAGCCATTTATCAGAATACTATAGGAGACTGTGGTCACACATTTCATAATCAAATCAACCCATCTATCATGGAAACCCAATGCCATCATCATATTACGGAGAAAATGCCACTCCATTCGATCATACGCCTTAGCCATATCCAGCTTAAGTGCACCCCAGCCCCTCAATCCACACTGTTTTCGATTCAGAAAGTGCCCCACTTCTGCAGCTAATAGAATATTATCTGTTATCAATCTATCTGGGATAAAAGCACTCTGTGTCTCAGATATTATTCCTTCCATCAAAGGCTTCATTCTATTAGCCATCATTTTAGCTATTATTCTGTAAATGACATTGCTAAGTGCTATAGGGCGCAAATCAGTTACTAACTCTGGATTACTCTTTTTAGGGATCAACACAATATCTGTCTCATTCAAGCCAGACGGGAGGTCACCTGATTCAAGACAGTTCAGCACAAAACTCGCAACATCCCCTCCTACCACATCCCAGAAATGCTGATAAAAACCCGGATTCATTCCATCCGGTCCTGGTGCTTTATCCGGATACATTGCAAACAATGCATCCTTTACTTCCTCCAGATTAAATGGCCGTAATAGTGAGTCATTCTGCGCCTGTGATACCCTGGGTTCTATCCCCCCAAAAAAATCATCTCCAGTTCCCGGACCCCCAGAGCTGAAAATATTCTTAAAATAGTCCAGAATGCTATCTCTCATGGGATCCCCCTCCAACCAATCCCCATTGTCATTCATTAATCTAAGTAAAGTATTCTTTTTCTTTCGGTGAGAGGCATACCTGTGAAAGAATTTGGTATTGGCGTCAGCTTCCTTGAGCCAGTGCTGATTGGCCCTCTGCCTCCAGTATGCATCCTCCTGGGCCTCAGTGCGACTCAGAAGTTGCTCTATTCGCTGAAACTCGACAAGAGAGGCCGAGTCAGTGCATCCTCTCAAACGTTGTTGATCCCGTTTCAGCTGCACAATCTGTTTCCCATACTTATGGAACCGATCCCCACCCCATCGTGTTAACCGGTTTCCACAGTATTGAACACAACCCTGTAAACCCTGCCCTCTCCCTTCCTGCCACGCCTGCTCCACCACACCCCTACATCCCTCATCATATAACCATGCCATCTCAAACCTAAAACCCCTTCTTCTAACCCCATCCCTCCCTACCTCCTCATGAACTGTGAAAAAAATGGCTGAATGATCTGACTTCCTGGTTCTCAAATTCATAACCTTTACATGGGGAATTATATTGCGCCACTCGTTCGTTACTAGGACCTTATCAAGTCTCTCCTCAATCCAGTTTGCAGTCCCTTTCCCCTTCTCCCAGGTATATGGGTATCCAATCATTGGCAACTGGGCCAATCCACAATCCTCAATCGTCTCCCCAAAACCTCGAAGAAGGCTATTCGGATGTGGATTTCCCCCTCTCTTCTCATACTGGTATAGCAAATCATTAAAATCCCCCACCACCACCCACGGGAGATTCGATTTTGCCGCCAACATTCTCAACAAATCCCATGATTCAGCACGCCTATTACGGTCCGAATAACCATAGTAACACGTCATTCTCCAGGCCGGATGACCTGTCATAGTTACCTCAATATCAACGTAGTTTCTTGAGTAACTAAGGAGTCTCGCCGTATTATTCTTCTTCCACAATAACGCTAATCCACCACTCAAACCATCATTGTCAACATAAAATAAGCCTTCGAAACCAATCGTAACACGAAGACGCTCAGCATGATCTCGCGCTACCTTAGTTTCTATTAGAAATACAAAGTCGGGTTGCTTTTTGGACACCATGTCCACCACCTCTCGAACTGTCCGTGGATTACCCAAGCCACGGCAGTTCCAACTCAGCGTACTCATTGGGTTGGGCGGGTCTGTGATCCAGAACCCGCCGTAAACAAGTTTTTTGAGCCATCCACCATCGTCACATCTGTACCATCCCCTCCATTCTCACGGCGGCGCTTGGCCACTGCCACCACCACCTCTTCGGTCTCGGACCTCTCGGCCTCCTCAACCGGGCTACTCCGTACCACCGGTCGGCGGCTCGGATTCCCATGCATCGGAAAGTCCTTCGGCTTTCCACCGAGAGGAACCAACCAAGGGTCCCCTATCTCCCGTGGCCCTCGGTTTCCTCCCACTCGTAGTTCCGCAGAGTACGGATACTGTTCCACCGGTATTCTTGCTTCCCGAGCCTTTATACAAAACTTATAGGAGTGACCCAGCATACCACAACAGAAACAGAAAGTGTGCAGCCTCTCATACCTGAAGTTAACCCAACATGTTGTCCTATCCCTCTTCAGCAATTTCATCCTTCTCTTAATCGGTTTATCAACCGGTATAGACACCCGAATACGATAATACGTGATCCAAGGCTCCCCAATAAACCTCTCGTCCAGTTTGACAAAAGTTCCAATAAAATTCCCAACCTGCTCAAGAATCGGGATCCCCGTGTATCCCATCGGTAAATCATGCACTTGTACCCAGAGATCAATCGTATCCAGCACAACATCAATCGGCATCACACCATCCGGAACCCTCTTGCAAACTAACGAATGATTGTTAAACGACCACGGCCCCTCTTCCAGCACATACTCCACATCCGTCTCATGATAGAAAACAAAGAGGAACAGATTCGGTTGAATTTCCGAAACCTGAACCCCTCGTACCGGTTGCCAAACGGATGCCATGACTTGCCGCATATACTCTGCCTTAATGATTTTGTTCGTCAGAAAACGGCCCACAACGCCCCACGTCTGCTCCGTCACCGCCTGGCCACCGCCTTCGGCCATCCCTGCCGGCGCAAACACGGCATCCTCCTCCTCGTCTAGAACAATGTCCGCCCACCGTCGTGTCAGCGCCGCTACACCGTCCCCCTCCGTCGCTGCCATACGCACTTGCCCGCTGCGACTAGCGTCGCCAAACAGTGATGATCACCGGAAAAAACGTAGGAAACCGTCGGAAACCTAGCAAACCCTAGGGGAGGAGAAAACTCTAGCAAACCCTAGAGAGGAAACTATATTTCGAATGCTTCAACTTGTTTATTAGTCAATTTAATTCCGTTAAAATTTCTATGTTTACACCAACAACTTTCATTTTCAAGAATATCAAAATTATTTGATCACTCTTAGCTTTATCGTAGGTGTCGCCGGCCGGAGTTGTTGACTACGGCAATCTACAATTCAAGAATTAGATAATTCTTGTCATCATCTTCATGGATCTTAATTAATAGCTACCTCTTTTCTTCTCTCTTGCATGCTTTTGACCAATGCCTTTAACCAAATTAATTACAATGTTGTAACTTATGCCTCTTCATCTTTATTCATTTTAAATTATTATTGAAATACCACGCCAATCATATTTTTTTAATAATATAATTGAGTCTCGATTATATCTGATCTTTTATTTGAAATTCAGTGGCACTAATTTTACGATTTTCAAGTCCTTAAGAGGAGGGAAAAAAATTCTAATTTACAGCAAGTATTAAATAGGAGTGTTATAAGCAATAGAGACAAAGGTGTAACACATTACTTAAATTAAATTCCAATATTATTTCGCCGGCAAAAAACTGCTAGTCAGCTGGTTGCTATTGCTTGAAGGGTTGCTGTGGGTATTGGTGGTGATAATGTGCTGTGAACCATTGATGATGGAGGAGATGGCGGCTGCGAGGGCGGCGGTGAAGTGGGGATCGGCGGCGATGGCGGCCGTGGTGGCGCCATGATGAGCAAAGGAAGGGTGTTGAGGGATATTAGAAACTTGTAGCCCTGAAAACTTTGACTGGTTATTATACAAAGCTGCCTGGCCAAAAACTTGAGGGGTTGAAACATAATGTTGAGGATTTTGAGGGGTATTAGAGAAAGGGAATTGGGGTCTTGGGTAATTAGGCAAGGAATTGAGGGGTTGATGGGTAAGATCCAATGTGATAGTAGGAAAAGGTGCAGAAGCAGAAATTGTAGCAATGCTACCAGATGGAAAGATGGCTCTTCCCATGAAATTAGGGTTCATCATCATATCACCGCCACTCGGCACGGCGCCGGAGAGAAGCATACTCGCGGCGGCCGAGGTGGTCGACGCCATTGCCATGGCGGCCGGCGGTAGGGGATGGCTGTGTGTGCCTTCGTAGGTTGTCTTCAAAACCGCCCGGTCATCGGAACATCTTTGCACTTGTTTGCGAACCGGACAACCAACGGCCATGGTACACCGGTAATAAGCTCGTGGGCATGGGTTTCCTTTCGCCATTTTTTGCCCATATTTTCTCCATTGACATCCATCACTAATCTGCACACACCACCAAGTAGACCAATAAGTTATTTACATATATATAGTTTCAATGTATATGTGTATAATAAGAGTAAATAATAGCAATCATAGGTTGGCTCAATAACACAAAAAGATAGTCGGGTCAAGTTTGGTTAATCACAAGTTTACAAATTGACTCTCAGTAGGGTGATCGATAGACCTTCATGATTTGGACAGGTCAAGACAATTTAACTCTTTATGGTCCTTTGATGAACCATAGGTTTTACCCAACTCACCAATCTAGGCTGATTTACCTTGAAATTTTACTTTATACCACCTTTAAGTAGGTTGATTTTTTAAACTGTCCTCATAAGTACTTGGCGGTTGGCCTGGGAACCTCTAATAATGGGTGATATCGCACACCATTGTCACCACATTTAAGCCAAGGCATAGGCAATGTCGTGACCAACTTAGGCACCTATCGTGCCATGTTGACACTTAACTTAGCTAAGGCATAGCGTTGTTTCCAACGTAGGCACTGTCATGCCCAACCTATGCACCGTCGTGCCCAATGTAGGCACTGTTAAAATTATATATAGATTGATTTACCTTCTTATGGTCTTTTGTTGAGGGTGGATTTTAGTTAATTTACACCATCTATAGTTTAATTTGATGAAACCATTTGAGAATAGCATGCATAAGTTGACAAGTCTTAACATGCCATTGACTACTTATTAGATGAGTTTAGAGAAAAGTATCCTTCTTACTTGCCATATATCTTTATGCACCAAAAGAATAGTAATAATAAGCTGCGTATAGTACCATGGAGGCTTCCGACCGGGCACGGACGGAGACACGGGCTTTCCTCATCGTCACGGCGGCAGAACCAGCAGCAGCTTGATCATCATCATCAACAACATCAACAGGTTTCGAAGGATTATTCAATCTGGGAACTTTGTTACCCCGCCATGTTTCAGAATCTTCGCTTTCTTCCCTACGACGACGACCAACAGACCCTTCATGCGACCTCGACGGCGCCGGTTCTACGTTGTTGTTCCCAGGCGATTCAGATTCCGTTCTCTCTCCCGTCGAGGTACGAGAATTGTGGGATAATGGCTCGTCTGTTCCCTTTCCATCCGCCACCTGAACGTACAACAACGATAAATATCATTCAATCTTTAACCAAATACGAAAATCTCACTTTTTATCTCTAAATTATTGTCCCTTATGAAATGAAATGTAACCCTTCGTTCTCAATATCAAGAAATATTTATCAGACTAAATTGCATAACTAACAATATATTATCCCAATGATTAACATAATTAAGCAGTTAATCAATCAAATCAGCAATTAATTAATTACCTGGTATGTTGTTGAGGTGTTTTGTTGTTGTTGTTGTTGGTGAACCAGTGTAAGAAAATACATATGCAAGGCGCCATAGCTATCAGTTGCTTGAGAAAGCATCCCTTTCAATTTCTGGTTTTCATCCTTCATTCTTTCTACCTCTCCTTGCAATCTTGCCACCTACAGATACAAAATCCTCAAAATAAACGAAATAAGCTATTATTTTAAGCTCTTATGTTTTATTGACACCCCTGTTTAGATTCCGCTCTGTTTTAGGTATTAATGATAGATTCATAATTGTTTTCGCAAGCTTTAAATGTTTTAAAATGATCTTAAAATTAGGAGTGTTACAGTTGATATCAGGAGTGGTGACAGGGATGTTCTATAGCCCAAACAAAAATGGTAACTTATTTCTAGTTAAAATAAGTTATAAGCTCTAAAATAAACTCTACCAGACATATATACCATATTATGACTATTCACTATTCTTGAAAGAAACATTTATATATATATATATATATATGTGTGTGTGTGTGAGAGAGAGAGATCATTCTTACCTCACTCTTAGCTCGCCGTTCCACATCCGCCGCCGCACTGCCATCTACAGTTGATTGGTTCTCGTTTTCACCATTATTAGCAATCACAAGTTCTAACCCAGTCTATATATATATATAAATAAGTAAAAAATAAGAACAATCAAATATTATTCAGGTAAAAAAAAAAAACATTTTTTTTCCAGCTTAAGAACTCACGTTTACGTTCAAATCCGGCCGGGTGTTATGTTCATCATTGAAACCCATCTCCTTCTTCACAAGGACCGCCGGAGCCTCCGCCGCCGGCAACTTCTTCACGGGGAAGAAGTCAACTTCATTTACTGCCACTGCCCGTTTCTCGCTAGCCGCCGAGGGAGCGGCGGCGGAATGATCATCCTTCCGGTTAAGGTTCACCGGAAACATACTAGCACCACCGCCGCCGCCACTCTTGATAGGGTTCAACCAGCTCGGAGTCGAGGTAAAACCAAAAACCGTCGGTTTTTCGATGCTTTCTGAGCTCTTAAGGGTTAGCCCCCACCCTCCTTTCTCCATTAATGGAGATAACAGAAAGCTATCTGAGAATGGAAGAAAGAGAGAAAAAATTTGTATGAAGTGGTTGGGAAGTCTTTCAAAGGAGATATGGGTTGAGGTATAAAAAGGGGAGAGAGGGTGATGGGTTACGTAAAAACAGAGTGAACCGAACTAACACGGGTTGGTAAGTGTACTGCTAATGTAATTATATGAAAATGAGTTTTTGATGCGGATTATGCGAATGCGATAATGCTCAATGTTTAGATCAGATTTTTTTCCGTGTAAAAGTCAAACTTTAGTAAATGAGTTTTTGATGCGGATTGTGCGAATGCAATAATGCTCAATATTTAAATCAGATTTTTTTCTGTAAAAGTCAAATTTTAGTAAATGAGTTTTTCATGCGGATTGTGCGAATGCGATAATGCTCAATGTTTAGATCAGACTTTTTCCCGTATAAAAGTCAAACTTTAGTAACAGAAATATCACATGCTCTGCGTAAAAAATTTTAAAAATAAAAATCAAACTCAAACTCTGTAGAGGGTTGTTTGGTTCAAGTTATATAAGATAACTAAAGTTATATTTGCTTGGTAATATATGTTTGGTTCAGGTTATGTAATTTTTTCTGAGAATATCACATAACTTCCGCATTAAGTTTTTAGCTATTGGAAGGAAATGTAAGATAATCCTCCAATTTCTTAGGTAATTAGTTTTGAACCAAACCCAACAATCTAACATTCCCTAAGGTAAACTAATATTCCGTGAATCAAAGGCTCCCGAAATTAATCTAGATAATAGAGATATTTGAGTGTTAATATAAATTAATTTGATTCTTGCCCACAAAAGAATAAATTTGGATACATCTAATTCAAATAATAAAGATATTTTTGAATGCATTATGAAAATATTAAAAGAAAAATGCTATGGAGAGAAGGTGAGGGAGTTACGTAGAGCAGAGGACTAGAGGAGCGAGGGTGACGGTGGGTTTTGATAAAGTTACGTGAGGTGGTGCGTCACGGTTAGAAACAGGTGGCGGTGGGTCCCAGTGGTGGCCGGTCAAGACTGAGTTTGACTGGAAGGATCGAACGGTGAGAAGCGCATCTGGGAAATCCACTGGCCCGAACGGTGCGGCGCGGCACACGTGATTAAAATGATAAAGACACGGGAAAGTTCGGAGTCAACGATTGTGTTGAACAAGTAATTAGGGTGTAATTTTCAGCTACATGCCACCACAACAATCATATTATGTACCATCATTTTTAGGTTAAACGTGCACCATTATATTTTTCCTTTGAGTTAATTCTAGCAATGGTCCTCCGACTATATTGATTTTTCAAAATTAGTCCTCGATTTTTAATTTGGACACTTTAGGTCCCTTGACTTTCAATTTCTTTCCAATTGAGGTCCTTTCGTTAGAATACGGTTCATTGGACTTTAAATGAAGGGGTAAACACGTCATTTCACCTTCCTATGTATTATTCTTCGTATTTCTCCCTTCGTATTTCGCTGCTATACCTTGTAAACATCTCAATAATGGAGGAACACACACACGAGCAGCTAGCAAATGGGGAACGACGATGAACATTCTAGGGTTTCGACTAAGATTATCTTCATATATATCACGTATACAAGGGAGAAATATGAAGAATAATACATTGGCAGGTGAAAGGATGAGTTTACTCCTTCATTTAAAATCCAATTAACCGTATTCTGACGAAAGGACCTCAATTGGAAAGAAATTGAAAGTCAAGGGACCTAAAGTGTCCAAATTAAAAGTCAAGGACTAATTTTGGAAAATTAATATAGTCGGAGGACCATTGCTGGAATTAACTCTTTTTCCTTTTATGTACTTAAAAATTACATAATCCACTACATTAAAAATAGAGAAAATACCCTTTTTTTTTTTTTGGAAAGGCTGAAAATAGGACTCCAAAATCGAGTAGCTTCCGGTTCTTAAACTGCTCCTGAGTTGCATAGCATCAATCCTATCCTACTCAAGAATTCCACAAATATCACTCAAAAGACTCTTGAACTCGATCCAATCGCATATCTTTCTAACCATAATCTTAGCTAACACATTGACCACATCATTCTTCTTACGAGGAACATGGGTAATCTTGACCTCTTAAGTCCTTTTAAAAATAGAGAAAATATGTTTTTAGTATATAAAGAAAATGTATTTTTATTTAATGCAATCACAATTGTCATCCCTAATTATTTGTGGTCTATATAGTTCTTAATAATCCATGGTAGATTATATACCAACCAAATTTGGTCTCAAAATCCAACTCTTTCATTTTCCATTTGCAATCTATAATTCACTATATCATTCTTGGGATACAATTCAACTAACCAAGTAATCTAAAATATGTTCATAAGTTTTACTTTGCTAATAGCAGCCACATAGGGACAGGGCTTTCCATGCGGTCGGTGCAGATTGTACTATTAAGTATGTATAAATACACTACACAATTATTAAAAATGTATCACAAAACGCACTACACAACAACAACAACAACAAAAAATGCAACACCTAATAATGCATTATCGGACACTTTATGGTGAATTTATGCGAACTTAATGGTGCAAGACTACACGCCCACACAGAAAGCACTGTCTGCACGAGAACCTGAATATATATATATATATATATATATATATATATATATATATATATATATATATATATATATATATATATATATATATATATAGAGAGAGAGAGAGAGAGAGAGAGAGAGAGAGACTGCTACGCCTTACCGACGCCCAAAGTCCACACGATGACCTTCTAGCTGCTATCTCTTATATCTCAATAAAGGGAAATGGTCAAACCAAAACGTAAGCGTGAGCTAATGATGATGCAATGGGTTTCGGGGCTCGGCCCTCAGCACCTTCAATCCTAGGGACTTTACTAAGCTAAAAGGATTTTACTCAAAAAAAAAAAAAAAAAAAAAAAAAAAAAAAAAAAAAAAAAGTAAGCTAAAAGGATTTCTCAATTAAATTAAAATTTTCGTTACAAGCTAGTTTAGCATGTTATGTCAATTCATTTCATCACATAATAAGGCAAGGAGCAAATCAGTAACTTAGAAATCAATTAAGGGATAAGTTGGTCTTGCAAGCTTTGACAAGCCTCTGATGGCCCGATTCAAAACTACTAATCATAATTTTAAAATTATTACTCGGGCTAGTTCTTGAATTTTAGTGAAAATTGTAAGTTACATATACAATATGTCTTAACGACATATAGGCTTCTTAAAGTACTTAAACATTAGAAAATCAAATTTTACACTTTACAATTGCCATCAAAATAAAATTACCAACCTTATTTGAATTAATCAATTAATTGAGTTATATCTAAACCCTAGTTTCTAAGGGCTTTACTAATTGACTTCAAACCAAAATTTTTCGTCTTAGAGATATCATGGCTTGAACCTTCTAGGTAGCTAGCAATGGCTGAGTTCATATATATTCACATTTCACATGCAAAACTTATGATATATAGTCAACAGATGCAGGTAATACGTTGTCAGGTTGTGGGAAAATTTTAAGGATATGATTAAGGTGGCTCTATTTTCCATATATTGTCAAAAATCAAATACACACTTTTTCTTCCGCTCCAACTCACTCTTCAATTCAAGAAATGACCCACCAGATAGATATACGATGCAACCATACAAATAAAAGATTCTCAAAGTTCACATTCGAATAACAGTACAATTACAATATTTTCACTTTTAATTTTTAAATAAAATGATAGACCAATATTAGTGATTCAATTATTTTGTTGTTGCCATCTGAATGGTAAATCGCACTAGCAAGACCCACTCAAAGATGTGCGTTAGAAGAAATTGTACTTGTGATTTTCTAGTACAAAAATCGTACTTTTCACCAACTCAATCACTCTACAAGGGCTCCAATCTTGTTATTTAATTAAATGGAAATATATATATATATATATATATATATATATATATATATATATATATATATATATATATATGGAAGGGTTCAGGTGCGGGTATAGCTTCTCGTGTGGTTGACGCACCTTAAAAAGGAAAATCACGCACCTTAAGTTTCAACAACTACTCACATTAGCACAAAATCCACGCACCTTAAGCACAAAACCCACGCACCTTTAGCACAAAAATCACGCACCCAAAACAAAAAAAATCACGCACCTTAAATTTCAACAACTACTCACATTAAGCACACAACTCACACACCTTAAGCACAAAAATCACACACCTTAAGCACAAAAACCATGCACTTTAAATTTGACCTAGATGCAAAAATTACTAAATTGCCACCGCGTTTTTTTTTTTTAAATTTTTAGTAATCCTAGACATTAATTTAAGAACGATCAATAGCTCAGATTTAACTGTACAATCACACGGGAAACACTCAAACGCACGCTAACTGAATTTTATATATATATATATATATATATATATATATATATATATATATATATATATATATATATATATATAACATGATTACATGAAACGTGGAAGCAAGAAATAACGATAATGTCAAGAGAGCGGCGGATTATTGTCCCTTTTTGAAGGCCAAAATTAGACAAAGAAAAAAACAAAAGGATGTTGGTTTAAGGATGGAGAGAAAGTTGACTGAGATTTCTTTGACTCTATACTCATCCCCACGTGGCACACTGCATTGACGAAGAAAATTAGGGTTTGGTTAGGTTTGATGATTTGATATTCACATGATTTAATAAATAGTTTATAAATATTAATATTAATATCAATACTATCTAGTCTAGAATATATATAAGTGAATTATTTGAAGAGATGGGTTAGAAAATCTTCTGACATTTCACACGATATATACATATATATATATATATATATATATATATATATATATATATATATATATATATATATATATTACATACATACATACATATAACGGATCATTTGAGAACCACATACCTAGGAGAGGAATGAGAACTCATGGCATGCAGCTGTTCATCTGGATAGATATAACATATCAAAAACACTGTTTTTTTAAAAATAATGTGGCATTTTTTTGTAAATAATTGAACTTTAATTTGAAATGTAAGTAAATTATGTTAAAGTGCAAGTAACAGTTTTATAGAGTGCACCTAATAAGTACAAGTAAAATGTATTAAAAGTGCAATACCATCGAATAA